TTTTGTTTTCTTGAATTTTTAACTACACCATTTAAAGATCAATTTACCCAACATGAAAAAAAATACAAGCTTCTTGGCCAACTGACCGAATACAGACCAAGTAAATGACATCTAGAGCTTGACTTCGCCAAAGTTATCCTCAATCGCCATTCCCCAGCCGGCTTAGACGTCGTTTTTTTTTCGATCGTATGGTAGATATCCTTAATGAGAATTAGAAGTTACCTAATGTAATTTCACCAAAACCTGTCCGAGATGTAGATGGCGATACCATCGTCGCTAGTCAACCTGTTAGAGATTTAGTTTAGCTCTGCGCCGCTGCGCGTTGATAGTCGTTTAAACTGAGGCCGCAGTGCAAGCAAGTTACCTGGAGGGTAGTGGGTATCGAGGCGCCAAGCGACCCTCCAAGTAACCCACGAGGTATGTTTAACTAGTAAAAGTTTGCCACTTTTTACTAGTAGGCTTTGGACCCCTTATTGATGATCTGTCCCTAATATGGAACTCGAAAACATATTTTTTCAGCAAAACGAGGTGCCGCCTCAGAACACTGAAGTTATCAGCAAATTTTTCCAGCCAATTTCGAGAATAATGAATAGCTAACGAAGATATCAGCCGTTGGCCGTCGAGGCGGCCGGACTTAGCGCCTATGAATTTTTCTGTTTGCGGAAGAATAAGGGTTCTTATTTTCATAATGCCCGTATAATCTAGGCAAGAATTAGAAGTACTTAGCGGTTATGCGAGGGTATCTTTCATCCCCACTGAGTTAATGAACTCCGCGAGAAATGTTCAAAAACTATTTAAGTGGCAAATTTATTTATTTTAGCTTTTAAGTTATTTTTCAATGGTTTCATTATTTATTTTTACTGAATAAACATTTTAAATTACATCCAATGCACAGCATAACTTATATTCTAGCTTCTTTAACCGATGATGAGCAGTGAAGTCTTTAGTTTAACGGGGGCCACGGGCCTGAGACAAAAGGGGCCCCTCGGATCTTGGAGGACTTACAAAATCGCGATGTTTTGTCGCGGTATTTCCCTGGAACGCTAGCGAAAGTAACGCGGCTCATATGTGGAACCGGTATTTTCATCACTTTGTCATCATAAGTTGCCATTAAATACATGCAAACATTGTTTTATTACATCAAATTGCATTCGTTTTTCAATTTGTAAATATTATAAGCTTTAAAAAAATGATGTTATCGTTTTTCTGCAGCCTTTTTAGAGCTGGGGCCCTTAATACTCCTGGGGCCAGGGCCCATCAGATCCCTACGTAAAGACGGCACTGCTGATGAGTAACATATTTATATCTATATCGATTTTTATTATAATTATTACAGTATACAGAGTGTCCCAGGCTGAGCGTGCATTAGAAGTTTTTAGAGAACCACAATATCTAGATCGAAGTTTTTCTGCACATTATTGTTTTACAACAAGATCTCGGTTAAAAATCGATCGGTTAAAAATATTTTCAACATGGCGACACTTCCGGAAATACCGGAATTTGACAGAAACTTTCTTATTTTAAATGGTGTAAATATAAAAAGTGGATTTCCATTTGAAAAAAAAATTATTTATGATAATTTTTTAATCGCTCAATTCCATGACATCTGCTGCGGCCATTATTATATGACATTCGGACTATTTAATTTTTGGCATAGATAGCCTCTCTTTATGGTACAGTGGCTGTGGCAATCACTAAATTTGACGTTTAGGCTATATACATATTTTTGACAGGCAGTTTTTTCCTAATTATAAATATTTTTTTTTGCTCAAAAAACGGTTAACGTTAGGTTAGAATGTTTAATATCAAAATCCATAAAATTTTACAGAGAATTTAAGTAAGTAATAAAAAATGCGATCACCCGTCTGAAATAAGAAAGTTGCTGTCAACTTCCGAAAGTGCCGCCATATTGAAAATATTTTTAATCGATAGATCTCGTTGTGAAACAATGATATGCACAAAATCTCGGATCTAGATATTGTAGTTCTCTAGAAACTTCTAATGCAGGCTCAGCCTGGGACACCCTGTATAAATACTTCAATTTTGTCAACCATTATACATAAGTCATTCAATTTTTACAAAATGTGCATTAGAAGTATATCATTATCTGAACAGACCGGGGGCCACATTTAGCTTCGCCGCCCCGGGCCCCCGATAGGCTTAGTCCGCCACTGTGTAGACGTCCTTTCTAATTTGTCTTGAACTTTATTAAGTAGAAAATTAAACGAAATTTAAACGATTTGTAAAATATTTGTTGCTTTTATGTTTAAAAAAAGGCTCAAAATAATGATCTTTTACCACATCTATACATAACACCAGACCATTCGGTAATTAAAAGTATTAACACCACAAAAAATAATGCAAAAAACTCTTTAATTATTTTAAAAGCAGCTAATAACATCCCTATGGCAATAAACACTGTATAGGCCTATTAAAAAGCCGAGCTAATGTGGAAATGCCTGATTGCTAACTGAACGGAAACAGTAGGTAATATAATTGTTGTTATGGAAACGAAATGCTTGGTGGGTGTAATTTCAAAATTGGATTGATTTGATTTTATCGGATGCGCTCATAATTAAACCAGTGCTTAAATTTAAAGTGTTTAATTAGTGTATAAATGTTTTTATGGTGTTTTTAGCTTAAGAATTATTTACATTTGTCACTTTTAATGGGCATCTTCTAAAGTGATAAGTATAAATTGCCTCTAATCTTTTTTTGTCCAAAGTGTACACTAAGTATAAAGGATAATATAGTATAATGTTTTATTAGGAGGAAAAATGACACTTTTGCGACGAAGCTGTACATATTGTGAATACAGGCTGTCCGACATACAGCTGAGGCACAAAAAGTCATTTTGCTCCGAAAAGAACATGCTACGAACATGCTAATTTCAAACGTTCCAAATAATATTATAATAATTATTTTTTATAAAAAAGGCGATAAAATGGTATTTTATCGTCGTGTATAAAACAATATTTTTTCCATAGCGATTTACGTTTTAAAAAATATTCAGAAATTATTATTTCAAGGAATTTATTGCGTGTAGAAAAAATATTGTGCTGGATTGGCGTTGGTTTCTATGTAATTTCACAAATAAATAAAGCTGTCTCTTTAGTTTTCAGTTTTGAGTCAATATTTTTTAATTCTCTTTCGTATCGATTGCTGATTGAATTGGAGCCAGAAATTGTTCAAACCGAAATAAGTAGATTATCAACAGATATTCAGGCTCGGTGCCGGACTTAGGCCTAGGCCAACTAGGCCCGGGCCTAGGGCGGCAGATTTTTAGGGGCGGCAAATTTTTACTTTTATTTAAACTTTTATTTAAAACTTTTATTTGTTCATGAAATATTTCGAATATAGCCTTAGCCGATTACACATTTATTTACTTAACTATTATTATTGTTTAAATATACAGGGTGTTTCAAAACAAATGCGAAAAACTTCAGGGGCTGATTCCTTGTTCAAAATAAAGGGTAGTTTGCTTCATAAACGTTGGGTCAAAAGTCAAACATTAGGGAGATATCGCGGTACAAAGATGGCGGAAAAATAATGTTTTTATTTTTTATCTTGAAAACGAAAAGAGATAGACTAATGAAATTTTTTGGAAGCATTACTGTTATGAAAACACACTTTCTGGTAATTTTTCACTTTTTAAAATAAGTGGAAGGGGTTGAAATATACTACCCTTATCATTCTTGTTAACGAAATTTAAAGAAAAAATCTTATCAAATACATGCAAAAAAATTGGATAGTTTAGTTTGTTTAGACACTTTTTTATCTCTTGTGTTTTTTGGTAAAACTCACCGATTTGAAATTAAAAAATAAAATGTAAAGCATTACATGTCAGGACAAAAGACATTTTTGGATAAAGAATCTAGTAGGCTGCTGTCAAACAGTTTTATTTCGTAATAATATCGTTACATTTTCTTCTGAACGATAACCTCTTAAAAATTATTTAGCAAGACAATTTTTAATTCTGTATTTTAATTTGAACGAACGAGTTCTAAACCAAATGAACAAGGACCGAGAACTCCTCGACATAATAAAAAAGAGGAAAGCAGCCTATTTAGGCCATATCATGAGACATAGCAAGTATGAATTCCTTCAGCTCATCATCGAGGGTAAAATTGAGGGAAAGCGCGGACCCGGACGACGGCAATGCTCCTGGCTGAAGAACATCAGAGATTGGACAGGCCTGGACTCACATACTTTGCTGAGAAGAGCGAAAAATAGAGAGGAATTTGGCATGGTTGTTGCCGATCTTCACTGAATGGAGAAGGCACTTTAAGAAGAAGAAGTATTTTAATTCATGAAAGTACAAAATAATGAAAAAAAGTACATATTAAAAAATAAAAATGTTTTTGTCCTGACATGGGGTAATGCTTTACATTTTATTTTTAATTTCAAATCGGTGAGTTTTATCAAAAAAAAACACAAGAAATAAAAAGTTTCTAAACAAACTAAACTATCCAAATTAATTTTTTGCATGTGTTTGATAAGATTTTTCTTTAAATTTCGTTAACAAGTATAATAGGGGTAGTTTATTTCAACCCCTTACACTCATTTTAAAAAGTGAGAAAATTACCAGAAAGTGTGTTTTTCATAACAGTAATGCTTCCATAAAATTTCATTAGTCTATCTCTTTTCGTTTTCAAGATAAAAAATTAAAACATTATTTTTCCGCCATCTTTGTAACGCGATATCTCCCTAATGGTTGACTTTTGACCCAACGTTTATGAAGCAAACTACCCTTTATTTTGAACAAGGAATCACCCCCTGAAGTTTTTCGCATTTGTTTTGAAACACCCTGTATAATTCGCTTGGGTTATTTTTTACTGCATTATGCCATGCCATCCAGTTAATAAATACATAAATACCTCATATATAAAAAAATAAATTCAAAAACATTAAAAAATGTATCAAAAACACGTTGGTCTGCACGAAATGAAGCTTGCAAATCACTATCTTTGTCTTCCAATGAAATAAAATCCACGTTGAAGTCAATTTCTGAAGACGATACCGAAAAGCCTAAAACCCGATTAGATGCTTCTAGTCTCCTTAAACAATTCAAAAGCATAGAAATGGGTCTTATGGCGGTATTTTGGACAGACGTTTTAAATAGATTAGATGCGATCAATAAAAAGCTTCAAATGTTGGATATTGATCTACAACTGGCTGCAGATTTATATAGCTCATTGGAAAAATATTTTTCTAAAATTAGAAATCTAGATAATACTAAATCATTCGAGGAATATGAAAGAAGGGCCATAGAATTGTTCGGTGAGAAAAAATATGCTGCAGATAAAAAGAGAAAAGTGAAACGGAAACGACAATTTGGTGAAACCAGTGATAATGAAACTCTATTTAACGCTAGGTACGATTTTAGGATAAATGTATTTAATGTTATTATTGATAAATTAATCCTTGAATTTTTTTTCCTACAGGAAAAGTGCCTACAATGACTTTTCAACCAAATTTGGTTTCTTTTTAGTGATTTATCTACTTTAATTATTGACAACATTACCGATAAGTCCAGACATTTAATAACCTGTTATGCAAATGATTTAGAGGAGTCAATGGCTAATGATTTAATACACTTTCGTGAATTTATAAAATGCATTAAGTCAGCAAAACCATCTGCTAGAGAGCTTCCTACAGTAATTTATGAAGAAAACGCTCAAAACCTGTTTCCAAATACTTTCATAGCATTAAGAATCTTCACATGTACTTTTATTACTAACTGTTCTGCTGAACGCTCGTTTTCTGCATTGAAACGTATTAAAACTTATTTACGGTCCACTATGGAAACTGAACGTCTAAATCATTTGGCAGTTTTACATATTGAGTCCGACCTTTTAAAAACTATCAATTACGATGAAGTAATTGATAATTTTGCGAACAAAAAAGTACGTAGGAAATCTTTATAGGCATATAAGCAAACCTTATAGTTTTGTTGTTCGTTTGTTGTCATTTTATATGAATATTTTAATATTTATTTTATGTTCTGTGTTGATCTGTTCTGTCGGTCTATTCTGTTGTTGGTCCTCTATTCAAATAAATGTTTTTTATATCCGTAATTTTTTTAATTAAAGAAAATGTTAAGGGGCGGCAATTTTTTTTGGCCTGGGGCGGCAATTTCGTTAAGTCCGGCCCTGTTCAGGCTGAGGCGACAAACGCCATATCCCAACTACTTCCATTTAAATCCCGAAAAGAAATACAAAAATTTTCAAAAGTGGATACAATTAAAAAACGTGCGAGAAGAAATAAAGTTTTTAACCTATCCTCGCTGTTAAAGTATCATTTAATCTACCCTTGCGGTTAAAGTGTTATTTTATCTGCTATTTTTGATATAGATATAAGACAATTTTAACAGTTGCTATGGAAAAAAAAGATTTAAAAGTCATACCTTGTATGTAATTATTTATAAATCAAGAAAATATGGGCACGCTCGTTGAATTTGACACTTTATGTCAGTTTAATAATATATTTTCGTACTTTTGTGTTTTACTTTTACGCCTAAGCGTTAAAATGACTTTTTTATATTGTCAATCACGTCGCAAAAAATAATACTTTTGTGACGTTTAAAAAAAACAATTTTTGACCGCCGACTGTTCTACTGTATATTGTCAAAAAGCGAGTAAATTATAACTTTCTCTAAGCTTATGTATAATATGTCTTGTTTGTTGTTTGTCATTAGGGAAAGTGTATAATGATAAGTTTTATTACCTTTCAGATAATTAGCGGATGTCCCGCAATAATGCGATTATGATGTTTGCCTTAAGATAACGACTATCCATAAAACTTCAACCTTGTTTCGCGTAAAATTCTTTTTTATGGCACCGTTCGTCAAAAACAATTCTCCACAACGCACACTGGATTAACATTACTAAATACTGGATGTTACAAATTACCCTCTCAAACGTAATTTTTTATATTGTTCAATGAACTAAAAATATTTTGAATAAAAAAAATTTCATATCATTGTATAGTTTTGGATCGCATCCGCTGCAAGAACAGTGCCCAATCAATGCCGGACTTAGACATCCAGGGCCCCTAGGCACTTGGCATTTGGGCCCCCTATGTCATAGCCAATTTGGAGCTTATATATAAAAGTTGGCTGGGCCCCTAGGCCCGGGCCTTGCAGATCTAGGCGGAAATCCGGCCCTGTGCCCAATAGTATTTGCATTAACCTTATATATAGTTCATATCAAATAAACTTTTAGTCACGTGATTGAGTTTGACCGGCACAGCGTTGTCCACTTTAACTTATTTTCTTTTATTCAAAATATTTTAGGAAACAAAAATAAATTAATTATAATTATATAAACAGTTATTATTTACATCAACAAAACTCACCTCCTTAACAGCACTTAAGTGACATAAAGGGCCATTACAACTGCTTTGTCGTTCAAAATATTCTAATAAAGTTGCGATGAGTTTTTACTGCTATTAAGATATCGTGTACACTTCGCAATAAAAGGGATTCTAAAAAGAACAATGTTCGACCGCAAGTTCTGCTAGTAACATTTTTTAAGCTTAAAGCACAGATTAGGTATCCTATAAGTATACAGATAAAAATCTTGTCCCTAATTCGTGGTACAATAATTGTTTTTTATAACGATGTGCAAACGAGTCAAATTTCCTGTGCGCAAAAATAAACTCGCGTAAAATAACAATAAACAGCGTAATAGAGAGATATCGCTAAACCGAATAGCGTGCATGGACGTTAATAAGGCCAGGTGTTATTTCCTTTACGTGAGGTGGTATTAACTCTCTTCATTTATAGTTATCGGATCGGAAAGAATTCTGATCGCGTAGCGTCCGCTATTTAAACTTAACCTAACTTTGAATTTAAAACTTTAAAATTGTTTTGTTTACTAGGTATTTTAAAACTAAAGGGCTAAAGTGCTTATTTCCAGCAACAATTCTCTTAGAAGGGCTAACAAAAGCAAGCAACAAATTCTCTTAGAAGGGCTAAGTCGTCAACTGCTGTAAACCTAAGACTCTTTATAGGTTCTTTAGTATTGGAAGAGGTGGAATCCATATTTTGGGCCATATTTATTTAATTAAAACTAATCCCAGCTACTTAAATATCATATTACCTAATAAAACTAAAGCAATAATTCAAAACAATTCAAACATAACCTAAAATAAAAGATCTCACCGGCCGGCTCCGGTTGTCAAATACCCGCACATGCCCATTTAAGCAATTTTTAAACATTATCAGAGGTTATTTAGAAAGAGCGCTTGGTGTAATTGATCCGCAAATTACGTCAGGCGGTAACGTTATTAGCGGGTGTTGCGTTAAAAATTGACTCGCGCATATCGTAACCTTCTCTGTCGTAACCATGATAAGATACGCGTAAATACTGGATGACGCTATTCGGTTTTCCGATATCTCTCTAATAACTGTGCCGGTCAGGCGCTGTTCACGATTTTAGAGGCCATAAGTGGGCGTGCTATGTGCGCAAACTAGTAACCTAACTAGTACCCGATTCCGAAAATTGGAACCACGAAAAACAATAAAGAAAAAACAACGATTATAATCTGTATAATCTGTGCTTAAAGTATCACAACACAATTCATTTAAACTAAAAACTCGTAATACAAAACTAAAGTGTCAAAAAGAATGACAATGTCAGGAAATAAATAAGTAAATATGTCAACTTGACATTTTTCACGGCAGAGCTACCACCTGAAGCCCCAGCGTGTAATTTAAATTCCAGTTAGTCAGACCGGCGCCGAATGTCCATAGTTGGCAACAATGAATTTAAAAATCGCGCCCTCGATTACGTAACTAAAAGTTTAATTGGTATCGAATATAGACACTAAATTCTATAAACCTAAGTTTTATCAAAAAGCTTAATGAAAGTTTGGATAAATAAACAAACAAATTGTGTTTATAACTAGCCAGCTAAATTGTATTTTCATTTGTTTCTGTCAAAACCATCGACCGACCGAAATTTCAATCAGAATAGAATCCGAAAAGGACAATTAACTAAGTATAAATATTATGATGCCATCTCGTAGTCATCAATTTGGAAATTTTCGTTTGACAGTAAAGCTTTTCTGTCTACACCCAAATATTTACGTTAGTTTTCAATTGCTGTTAAGACCTTTCATATACAGTATTACACAGAAAGTTATATACAGGGCTATTCAAAAGGCATGTGACATCTCTCGTGGGGAGATTCTTGAAGTTTTTAATAAGGTTTATTTTTTTATCAACATAGGTCCGTTCTGCTTTGTTTCGTAGCTACAGGAGGTTAATACTTTTGTAAAAAAATCGAATACGTTTATAAAAAACATGTGCTCCACCGACTTCTCTTGTTAGCAAAATTGTGTAAGCTGTTTAATATCGATTAAAAGTTGTAACTTGTAGTTCAGTCATTGGGGATCAAAAAAGGAACCTGCTTGGAAAAAAGTCCGGAAGTTTTGAAACTTTGCAGGTTTATAGGTTTTGGGGTCCCTAACTAAAATCCATAAAACCCACATTTCCATACTTGCCGCCGGCGCCGCCATCTTACCAAGATGGCGCCCATAATTGGTATTTTGTGAATATCTCGAAAACTATGCGTTTTTAGTGAAAATTTGAGGAGAGCAAAATTAAAGAGAATAACATTTCCTATAAAAAAGGCTTTACGAAAATTTTCGCTAAAATCAACCATTTAGGCACAAAATCCCTAGAAATTTTACGATTTTGCGTAAAATATGATATATTACGTATAGTCGATTTTCCGAAATCAAATGTCGATTAGGATTCACTAAAACTAGTTTTAGTTTAGTTTCTTCAATTTTGTAATGAAACAGTGGCGTATTAATTCGCTCATTAATTTATGAATAATTAATTGTCGTGCTGGACAGCATTCATTGCGAACTTACCACCAGGTTTAGCATTGATCTGATTGTACCAAAGATGCCGAAGAATAGGGTTGGAAGAAAACAAAAACAGGCATTACTCGAGTCACAACGTTGAAAGATCCAGCTCCAAAATCCCTATTGGCATTTTTATCCTGTAAATGCAAAGCCAACAACTATGGTGAAGCCTGCGGATGCAGAAAAGCAATGCATACTGCAATGGGGAATCCTGTGACAACGTCACTGAAGTGTCACTCGACGAATCCGATGAAGAGGAGTTGGACTTGCCTGTAGATATCCCTCTGGCGGCTGAAAATTAAGAGTTGGACGTATTGAGAGACTACCCCGATGAGCCCAGCACAGCAGACACGATCGACTTTGACATCAATGAGCCAGATCCGTCAGGCCTGTGCAGATAAGTTAAAGTTTTTAATTTATCTAGTGGAGTAGGCCTCCGGGGAGACCACATTAAAATAAACGCGCCATATACTTTACCTCCTTAGGTGGTACAAAGTACACATTTTCAATATTTAAAATTAATTATTGCATAAATTAATGAGCGAATTAATGATACGCCACTGTTTTATGACAAAATTGAAGAAACTAAACTAAAACTAATTTTAGTGAACCCTAATCGACATTTGATTTCGGAAAATCGACTATACATAATATATCATATTTTACGCAAAATTGTAAAATTTCCAGGGATTTGGTGCCTAAACGGTTGACTTTAGCGAAAATTTTCATAAAACCTTTTTTATAGGAAATTTTATTCTCTTTAATTTTGCTCTGCAAAACCTATAAACCTGCAAAGTTGCAAAACTTCCGGCCTTTTTTCCAAGCAAAAATCCCCAGTGACTGAACTATTGATATTTTTTCCATTTCGATCTCCTTGATGAAATAACCGCACACACTCATTTACGCAAAATTGTAAAATTTCCAGGGATTTGGTGCCTAAACGGTTGACTTTAGCGAAAATTTTCATAAAACCTTTTTTATAGGAAATTTTATTCTCTTTAATTTTGCTCTGCAAAACCTATAAACCTGCAAAGTTGCAAAACTTCCGGAC